GAGGTAGTCAATGTGAAGGTTTATAATAATAATAATCTTGAAGTTGCATATAAGAAATAACAATATTACAAATAATGGTTCAAACAGTACTATTTTATGGATTAACAGTTGTTTTGTAAAGTAAAAGGACACAAGTGCAACTAATGTGACATTTATTGTGGCAACGTTTCGCTCTCCAGGAGCTTTATCAAGCCATTACAAACAATACATGGACACAGAGGGTATATAAAGGCTCAGAGTGAGGTGAATACTAGTGAGGTACCATTCCGATGTTCACTAGTGGTAGTAGTAGTAGTAGTAGTGGTAGTGACAAAAGCAATTAATTCGTACATGAGTAAAAGGATATAAAAGCTATTACTTGGGTAACATAAAAATAGGTTGGACAAATATAAACTGGAATGAGGCAGGTTGTTTCAGTGTTACTCTCTGTGCTTTGTGTAGTATAACAGGAGAGACTATGTGATGGCAGGGTTTACTGTTTTCAGGAGGATTCTTGCTAAGACTTCGGAGATGGTGAAGCTGCCGTTGTTTTGTTTAATTGTATTCGAAACAGCGATCAGTGCTGATTCAAGGCATTTGCGTGTGCGGAAATTAGTTTCTTTTATCACTAATTGGGCGTCTCTGAATTTCATAAGATGATTGGTGGAATTTCGGTGTTGTACACAGGCGTTGTTTAAGTTGTCGTTCCTACATGCGTATATGTGTTCATTGAGGCGGGTGTCGAGGTTTCTTGCTGTTTCACCTACGTAGATCTTGTCGCAGCCTCCACAGGGTATAGTGTAAACTCCTGCATTGACTGGTTCGTGGTGCATGGGTTTTGTCCTGGTTAGATCCTTTATTGAAGTGGTAGAAGCGATGGCGACTCTGGTGTTAGCTTGTGAAAGTACTTTTGAGACGTTTAGTGCAACCTGGCTGTTGGGAAGAATTATAACTTTGTTGGGAGCGGTGTTGATGCGTGGAGAATTGATGATCTGAAGAGCTCTTTTCTTGCAGTCTTTGATGAAAAAAGAAGGAAATTGTAACTCAGTGAATGTTTGGTGAATGTAAGTACATTCCTCGTCAAGAAACTCAGGACTACAAATTCGGTATGCTCTTAGGAAAAACCCGATGATGATGCCTCTTTTGGTCTTGGTATCTTGACTGGAATAGAAGTGTGTGAGATCATTTTTATTGGTGGGTTTCCGATAAACTTGAAATCTTAGGTTGTTGTCTACTTTGTGAATGAGGACGTCGAGGAAAGGTAGCTTGTCATTGGACTCTTCTTCTAGTGTAAACTGAATCGCTGGTTCAACTGCGTTGAGCCTTGCCTGAAGATCCCGTACATCAAAACGTTTTGGAGTTATTACGAGGACATCGTCCACGTAACGTAACCAAGTGACGTTTGAAGGGATGATGTTGGCGAAGTGTTCGGACTCTAGGTGTTCCATGTATAAGTTGGCTAGGACGGCACTTATTGGGGACCCCATTCCCATGCCGTAGGTTTGTTTGTAGAGCTTGTTATTGAAGGAAAAACAGTTGAAGTTAACACAGAGTTCAATCAAGTCAACAAAATCTCCGGGAGGTAAAGGAAGATTAAGGTCCTGGTTGACTTTACGTCGTAGAACCTCGATGGCTTTTTTGGTAGGTACTTTTGTGAAGAGGGAAGTCACATCCAAACTGCTTAGTTTCTTGTTACGGATGGAGAGGTTACGGATGCGGTTGAGAAGGTCGCCTGAGTGTTTAAGATGAGCGGGGCTGATGGTCCCCAGATTTTGTTGACTTGATTGAACTCTGTGTTAACTTCAACTGTTTTTCCTTCAATAACAAGCTCTACAAACAAACCTACGGCATGGGAATGGGGTCCCCAATAAGTGCCGTCCTAGCCAACTTATACATGGAACACCTAGAGTCCGAACACTTCGCCAACATCATCCCTTCAAACGTCACTTGGTTACGTTACGTGGACGATGTCCTCGTAATAACTCCAAAACGTTTTGATGTACGGGATCTTCAGGCAAGGCTCAACGCAGTTGAACCAGCGATTCAGTTTACACTAGAAGAAGAGTCCAATGACAAGCTACCTTTCCTCGACGTCCTCATTCACAAAGTAGACAACAACCTAAGATTTCAAGTTTATCGGAAACCCACCAATAAAAATGATCTCACACACTTCTATTCCAGTCAAGATACCAAGACCAAAAGAGGCATCATCATCGGGTTTTTCCTAAGAGCATACCGAATTTGTAGTCCTGAGTTTCTTGACGAGGAATGTACTTACATTCACCAAACATTCACTGAGTTACAATTTCCTTCTTTTTTCATCAAAGACTGCAAGAAAAGAGCTCTTCAGATCATCAATTCTCCACGCATCAACACCGCTCCCAACAAAGTTATAATTCTTCCCAACAGCCAGGTTGCACTAAACGTCTCAAAAGTACTTTCACAAGCTAACACCAGAGTCGCCATCGCTTCTACCACTTCAATAAAGGATCTAACCAGGACAAAACCCATGCACCACGAACCAGTCAATGCAGGAGTTTACACTATACCCTGTGGAGGCTGCGACAAGATCTACGTAGGTGAAACAGCAAGAAACCTCGACACCCGCCTCAATGAACACATATACGCATGTAGGAACGACAACTTAAACAACGCCTGTGTACAACACCGAAATTCCACCAATCATCTTATGAAATTCAGAGACGCCCAATTAGTGATAAAAGAAACTAATTTCCGCACACGCAAATGCCTTGAATCAGCACTGATCGCTGTTTCGAATACAATTAAACAAAACAACGGCAGCTTCACCATCTCCGAAGTCTTAGCAAGAATCCTCCTGAAAACAGTAAACCCTGCCATCACATAGTCTCTCCTGTTATACTACACAAAGCACAGAGAGTGAACACTGAAACAACCTGCCTCATTCCAGTTTATATTTGTCCAACCTATTTTTATGTTACCCAAGTAATAGCTTTTATATCCTTTTACTCATGTACGAATTAATTGCTTTTGTCACTACCACTACTACTACTACTACTACCACTAGTGAACATCGGAATGGTACCTCACTAGTATTCACCTCACTCTGAGCCTTTATATACCCTCTGTGTCCATGTATTGTTTGTAATGGCTTGATAAAGCTCCTGGAGAGCGAAACGTTGCCACAATAAATGTCACATTAGTTGCACTTGTGTCCTTTTACTTTACATATTGTCGGTAATTCTACCAACTTTATTACACAACAGTTGTTTTAATAGACCAGACGTCATATAATATTTGCGAGAGTTGCTTAATACTGGTTAGAAGTTGTGTTGTTTAGAATTGAGAGATGAGATGATTTTTAAGCAGAGCCGTAAACTTGTATGTTGTCAGGGGATCCCTTACTGGTTCAGGTAGTGAATTCCAGATCATTGGGCCCTTTATGTGTATTGCATTTTTGCATAGTGTGAGACAGGCACGAGGGATGTTGAAGTGTGTCTTGTGCCTTGTATTGTGACTGTTCTGTTGTAGCTACCAAGGAGAAGTTTAAGTGGAGGGTTTATATTAGAGTTTAATGTTCTGTATATATAGTAGGCACAATAATATGAGTGTATATCTCCTATATTTAATAGGTTCAGGGTTGTGAAGTGGTGGGGTGCGCTGTCTGGCACAGGCGCTAGTAATCATCCACACAGCAGGTTTTTGTTGGGTTAATAAAGGTTGAAGGTGGCTGGCTGTGGCTGATCCCCAGGAACAAGTACCAGAGGTGAGGTAGATATATATTATGCCGGTGGTGGTAAGAGTAAACGATACACAAATATTTCAGTGAAAAAAAAATAGTGGAGTGGACCTCTGAGCTATTATAGAGGGAGGCTAATTAGGAATTAATTAATAATTCAGTAAATCATTAGGCACTCAGATGGGTCCAGAAACTTTGTGACCAACTCACTGGGTTGGCACACTGGCTGGATAGTAACCTCCTAGACTTCATTCAGGGCTTCAATTTTTTTCATGATGATTGAAGCATTGTCCACCTGTTGTGAAGAGGGAGATGAAGAACAGACAGGAATACCGGGAGAAACACAAAGAGATATATGTAAACAGAGAAAGAGAGAGAGAGAGAGAGCAACAACTTCACTCTGGCTGTACCCTTCTCCAGAACATTACTCCATCTGAGATCATATATACCCAGGATGACTCGAGTATGGAACACATTCGTACAGCATAATGATGTCAACGAGATAAAGTCAGTTGATCAAATGAAAATGCTGGCCCACAGATGGCTCCAACTTTATCCTATTCCCTACTTGTATGTCTCATAACAATAAAAATGCTTTCAAATGAGCTGATGTAGCTAACAGTTCTTAGCTTGCCAATAAAGTTAGGAATCCTTAACCTGTAAATAGCTTGTCAATAAAGTTAGGAATCCTTAACCTGTAAATAGCTTGTCAATAAAGTTAGGAATCCTTAACCTGTATATAGCTTGCCAATAAAGTTAGGAATCCTTAACCTGTAAATAGCTTGTCAATAAAGTTAGGAATCCTTAACCTGTAAATAGCTTGTCAATAAAGTTAGGAATCCTTAACCTGTAAATAGCTTGCCAATAAAGTTAGGAATCCTTAACCTGTAAATAGTTTGCCAATAAAGTTAGGAATCCTTAACCTCTAAATAGCTTGCCAATAAAGTTAGGAATCCTTAACCTGTAAATAGTTTGCCAATAAAGTTAGGAATCCTTAACCTGTAAATAGCTTGTCAATAAAGTTAGGAATCCTTAACCTGTAAATAGCTTGTCAATAAAGTTAGGAATCCTTAACCTGTAAATAGTTTGCCAATAAAGTTAGGAATCCTTAACCTGTAAATAGCTTGTCAATAAAGTTAGGAATCCTTAACCTGTAAATAGCTTGTCAATAAAGTTAGGAATCCTTAACCTGTAAATAGTTTGCCAATAAAGTTAGGAATCCTTAACCTGTAAATAGCTTGTCAATAAAGCTAGGGATCCTTAACCTTGTCAAACCCTGTGTGTAGAGAGAGAGAGATTGTACCTTCTTCAGTAGCTTGGCGCAGGCAGGCCAGCCAGCACCCTGGGCGAAGCCATTGATGAACCAGAGTAAGGCCCAGACCACAGTGTTGTCAGTGCGGGAGAAGAGCAGCGTACTGCCACCACTCACAGCCAACCCTGACAACACAACTAACACATTAACACACTTCCAACACTAACAATAATTCAACATATCAACAAAACTTTAATTTAACATCCTTCCAATACTACTTTAATATGTTTATTATGTACCCCATACCCATCCTGTGGGTGGTAGTCACACCATACCCATCCTGTGGGTGGTAGTCACACCATACCCATCCTGTGGGTGGTAGTCACACCATACCCATCCTGTGGGTGGTAGTCACACCATACTCATCCTGTGGGTGTTAGTCACACCATACCCATCCTGTGGGTGGTAGTCACACCATACCCATCCTGTGGGTGGTAGTCACACCATACCCATCCTGTGGGTGGTAGTCACACCATACCCATCTTGTGGGTGGTAGTCACACCATACTCATCCTGTGGGTGTTAGTCACACCAACCATCCTGTGGGGGTAGTCACCTACCCATCATGTGGGTGGTAGTCACACCATACCCATCCTGTGGGTGGTAGTCACACCATACCCATCCTGTGGGTGGTAGTCACACCATACCCATCCTGTGGGGGTAGTCACACCATACCCATCCTGTGGGTGGTAGTCACACCATACCCATCCTGTGGGTGGTAGTCACACCATACCCATCCTGTGGGGGTAGTCACACCATACCCATCCTGTGGGCGGTAGTCAAAAGATTACAGAGGTACATAATGGGTCCAGGGACTGTACCTCAACATTACAGAGGTACATAATGGGTCCAGGGATTGTACCTCAACATTACAGAGGTACATAATGGGTCCAGGGATTGTACCTCAACATTACAGAGGTACATAATGGGTCCAGGGACTGTACCTCAACATTACGGAGGTACATAATGGGTCCAGGGACTGGGCCCCAAAGTTCTGATAGCTGAACTAGTTACAAAAGTAATGAACTACACTATTCCAACACTTAAATTACGGGTGGCCCTGGCCTGGTAGGCAAAGCTCTCGCTTTACATGCTCAGGCGTCCGGGCTCGATTCCCGGCAAGGGTGGAAACACTTGGAGTGTTTCCTTACACCTGTTGTCTATGTTCACTCATCAGTAAAATGGGTACCTGGGTGTTGAATGGTGTGGGTCGCATCCTGGGACAAAATTGGCCAAATTTGCGGGAAATGCTCAGCATAACAAGCGACTTTCTATATAGTAGTATGTTATTGATGTCAGCTATGGTCTGTATACCTTGTACATGTACTGGTATACCTTGTACATGTACTGGTATACCTTGTACATGTACTGGTATACCTTGTACATGTACTGGTATACCTTGTACATGTACTTGTATACCTTGCACATGTACTGGTATACCTTGTACATGTACTTGTATACCTTGTACATATACTGGTATACCTTGCACATGTACTGGTATACCTTGTACATGTACTTGTATACCTTGTACATGTACTGGTATACCTTGTACATGTACTGGTATACCTTTGTACATGTACTGGTATACCTTGTACATGTACTGGTATACCTTGTACATGTACTGGTATACCTTGTACATGTACTGGTATACCTTGTACATGTACTGGTATACCTTGTACGTGCACTGGTATACCTTGTACATGTACTGGTATACCTTGTACATGTACTGGTATACCTTGTACGTGCACTGGTATACCTTGTACATGTACTGGTATTACCTGTACATGTACTGGTATACCTTGTACGTGTACTGGTATACCTTGTACATGTACTGGTATACCTTGTACGTGTACTGGTTTACTTGTACGTGTACTGGTATACCTTGTACATGTATGGTATACCTTGTAACGTGTACTGGTATACCTTGTACGTGTACTGGTATACCTTGTACATGTACTGGTAACCTTGTACATGTACTGGTATACCTTGTACATGTACTGGTATACCTTTGTACATGTACTGGTATACCTTGTACATGTACTGGTATACCTTGTACATGTACTGGTATACCTTGTACGTGTACTGGTATACCTTGTACATGTACTGGTATACCTTTGTACATGTACTGGTATACATTGTACGTGTACTGGTATACCTTGTACATGTACTGGTATACCTTGTACATGTACTGGTATACCTTGTACATGTTACTGGTATACCTTGTACGTTGTACTGGTATACCTTGTACATGTACTGGTATACCTTGTACGTGTACTGGTATACCTTGTACGTGTACTGGTATACCTTGTACGTGTACTGGTATACATTGTACGTGTACTGGTATACCTTGTACATGTACTGGTATACCTTGTACGTGTACTGGTATACCTTGTACATGTACTGGTATACCTTGTACATGTACTGGTATACCTTGTACGTGTACTGGTATACCTTGTACGTGTACGGTATACCTTGTACGTGTACTGGTATACCTTGTACGTGTACTGGTATACCTTGTACATTACTGGTATACCTTGTACGTGTACTGGTATACCTTGTACGTGTACTGGTATACCTTGTACATGTACTGGTTATACCTTGTACATGTACTGGTATACCTTGTACGTGTACTGGTAACTTGTACATGTAACTGGTATACCTTTGTACATGTACTGGTATACCTTGTACATGTACTGGTATACCTTGTACGTGTACTGGTATACCTTGTACATGTACTGGTATACCTTGTACGTGTACTGGTATACCTTGTACGTGTACTGGTATATACCTTGTACGTGTACTGGTATACCTTGTACGTGTACTGGTATACCTTGTACGTGTACTGGTATACCTTGTACGTGTAACTGGTATACCTTGTACGTGTACTGGTATACCTTGTACGTGTACTGGTATACCTTGTACGTGTACTGGTATACCTTGTACGTGTACTGGTATACCTTGTACGTGTACTGGTATACCTTGTACATGTACTGGTATACCTTGTACGTGTACTGGTATACCTTGTACGTGTACTGGATATACCTTGTACGTGTACTGGTATACCTTGTACGTGTACTGGTATACCTTGTACATGTACTGGTATACCTTGTACGTGTACTGGTATACCTTGTACGTGTACATGGTATACCTTGTACATGTACTGGTATACCTTGTACGTGTACTGGTATACCTTGTACGTGTACTGGTATACCTTGTACATGTACTGGTATACCTTGTACGTGTACTGGTATACCTTGTACGTGTACTGGTATACCTTGTACATGTACTGGTATACCTTGTACATGTACTGGTATACCTTGTACGTGTACTGGTATACCTTGTACATGTACTGGTATACCTTGTACATGTACTGGTATACCTTGTACGTGTACTGGTATACCTTGTACATGTACTGGTATACCTTGTACATGTACTGGTATACCTTGTACATGTACTGGATACCTTGTACATGTACTGGTATACCTTGTACATGTACTGGTATACTTGTACATGTACTGGTATACCTTGTACATGTACTGGTATACCTTGTACATGTACTGGTAACCTTGTACATGACTGGATACCTTGTACATGTACTGGTATACCTTGTACATGTACTGGTATACCTTGTACATGTACTGGTATACCTTGTACATGTACTGGTATACCTTGTACATGTACTGGTATACCTTGTACAATGTACTGGTATACCTTGTACATGTACTGGTATACCTTGTACATGTACTGGTATACCTTGTACATGTACTGGTATAACCTTGTACATGTACTGGTATACCTTGTACATGTACTGGTATACCTTGTACATGTACTGGTATACCTTGTACATGTACTGGTATACCTTGTACATGTACTGGTATACCTTGTACATGTACTGGTATACCTTGTACATGTACTGGTATACCTTGTACATGTACTGGTATACCTTGTACATGTACTGGTAGAAATAAGGATTTTATTTAAATAAAGTAAGTGAATAATAAAGAGATGAACAATGTGGTAAATGTTGTGGCCTCTGCTAGGCAGGTCCTGCTAGGCAGGTCCTGCTAGGCAGGTCCTGCTAGGCAGGTCCTGCTAGGCAGGTCCTGCTAGGCAGGTCCTGCTAGGCAGGTTCTGCTAGGCAGGTCCTGCTAGGCAGGTTCTGTTAGGCAGGTTCTGCTAGGCAGGTTCTGCTAGGCAGGTTCTGCTAGCAGGATCCTGCTAGGCAGGGTTTTGTTAGGCAGGTTCTGCTAGGCAGGTCCTGCTAGGCAGGTTCTGCTAGGCAGGTTCTGCTAGGCAGGTCCTGCTAGGCAGGTTCTGCTAGGCAGGTCCTGTTAGGCAGGTTCTGCTAGGCAGGTTCTGCTAGGCAGGTTCTGCTAGGCAGGTTCTGCTAGGCAGGTCCTGCTAGGCAGGTTCTGCTAGGCAGGTCCTGCTAGGCAGGTCCTGCTAGGCAGGTCCTGCTAGGCAGGTTCTGCTAGGCAGTTTCTGTTAGGCAGGTCCTGCATAGGCAGGTTCTGTTAGGCAGGTTCTGCTAGGCAGGTTCTGCTAGGCAGGTCCTGCTAGGCAGGTTCTGCTAGGCAGGTTCTGTTAGGCAGGTCCTGCTAGGCAGGTTCTGTTAGGCAGGTTCTGCTAGGCAGGTCCTGCTAGGAAGGTTCTGCTAGGCAGGTCCTGCTAGGCAGGTTCTGCTAGGCAGGTCCTGCTAGGCAGATTCTGCTAGGCAGGTTCTGCTAGGCAGGTTCTGCTAGGCAGGTCCTGCTAGGCAGGTCCTGCTAGGCAGGTCCTGCTAGGCAGGTTCTGTTAGGCAGGTTCTGTTAGGCAGATTCTGCTAGGCAGGTTCTGCTAGGCAGGTTCTGCTAGGCAGGTCCTGCTAGGCAGGTCCTGCTAGGCAGGTTCTGCTAGGCAGGTTCTGTTAGGCAGGTCCTGCTAGGCAGGTTCTGTTAGGCAGGTTCTGCTAGGCAGGTCCTGCTAGGAAGGTTCTGCTAGGCAGGTCCGCTAGGCAGGTTCTGCTAGGCAGGTCCTGCTAGGCAGATTCTGCTAGGCAGGTTCTGCTAGGCAGGTTCTGCTAGGCAGGTCCTGCATAGGCAGGTCCTGCTAGGCAGGTCCTGCTAGGCTGGTTCTGTTAGGCAGAT